ACCTAAGTTTTGGTAGAGCAATCTAGAAAAGTCTTGTTAATATTGTATATAGCATGTTTCTGAGCAATGAGAAAAGGATGCAGTTAAAATAACCTTAAAATCCCAATTTTGAAGTCCTTGCACGTGGTCTAACAATTGAGAGTTGTGTGGGGTACGCTGTTAGTTCAAAAATATTGATTGACTGTTTATCATTCATTTCATATTTACCGTAGATGAACTGGTAGAGTAAGCGCAGCAATGGGAAGAGGGAGAACCCTATCCTACTGATATTTCGATGTTCTTTCTCTCAAGTAACCTTCTGCGCAACTTCTTCGTTAGCGAGATTGATGTGATTCGACGCAATGAGCTAATTCCAGAAGATCTACATGCAGAATAGTAACACCTGTTTTTTTTCAGTGTGGCTAAGTAATGGAGATTCTGCATTAGATACTAGTTCAGAACGAGTACCAAGCCTAATGCCAACATCCTGCGAAAGAAGCTCTCAGAAAGACTTTGTATAACTTTTTCTGTGATGGTAATCCACCTAAACATTACACTGCAAGCATACCTTTGTCAGTACGGTTGAAGCAAATAGTCTGTTTGAAATCGTCTCTGTTAAGTGGTTTCCCTTTGATTGCTCAAAGGCGGCAACTCTTCCCTATGCCGGTTCATTTCTTCTTTCTTCAAGATAACAGAGTAACTCATTCGCTATCCTATCATCATTCCTATTTTGCTGATTTCCCTCACTGTCTCTCCTTGAGTATGTAGTTTTGGGAGAGAATATTGCTGTTTATTCCTGGTACCCGTTACGAAGAGAGGAGCACAAGAACATAGAAAACCGTGATCTCCTACAGAACGACAACTTGTATTAATGCTGTTACTCGAAACGTATTATCAATATAGAAGTTCTAAGCTATCAGTTCAGCTCTACGAACCTTTGGTGCTCCGCCTAAGTGTAGGCCTTACTTCCTGTACTACGCTCTAAGAGTTGTCCCCACTTTTTACATAACGACTGAAAAGTTACACAAAAAGTGCATTCTATTTCTTGCTTGCTGAGAAATCTCCTTTTACTGATTTCATTGTTTAGATACCCTTGCATGTGATACCATTTTCGACCACCTGTTATTCCCGCTGCACCATCAACATATCCACATTTATTCTGCATATGCACACATGCAACATAACGGGGAATATTAACTCCTTACGCACGAACTAAAGTAAATGCGC